TAACCATCATTCTAGAAAATGGCGAAGGGTTTAATATTGAAGAAAAAAAAAAGATGCTCAGAAAAAGAACAGTTACAGAGCTCACCTAAGAACGGTATAGGCAACCTGAATTTTCAAAGCGTGAACGGTACCCTTCAGAAGGACCACTTGAATCTAATGTTCACACATAGCATAATGATATTATGATTGTGTTGCGAGATATAGCAGACTCTTTTGTCTGGAAAGTATAAGGAGAAAATTATAAAAGAAAGGTGTCGGTCTTTGGGACGGTCCTTTTTGATTTTTACGTCATCATAACCCCATAAATCCTTACCTAGATTAATTGGGTACAACTTTACGGCTAAAATCGGTGCTTTTACTTTACGGACCTTTTCTTAAAATCCGCGGATAGAGGAGGTACAGCAAAGGGGGTGGGTGGGTGGTGTAGGGACTGCTAGTTTCGAAAGTACGTAACTTGCAGGCTCTGTTTATACCCCTCTAAAATAGCAAACCTTAGAGGTATTGAAAATGGATTCCTTCCTGCGTATTTTAGATTTCGTATTTCACTTTCAGATGAGGGAACTCTCCGGAACAAAAACGCTTGTTTGCATTGGATCCCTGTCCTGCTTTCTCTTTGTCACTTCTTGCAAAGAAAGTAGTAGGCACTGATTGAACATAGCCATTGTTAGTCCCACCGTTCGCCTGGATAATAAACGGTGAATTGTGACCTTGTGTTTTCGAGATTCTGAAGGTCCTGTGTAAATATTATATCACGTACAATGTGCCCTATGTGTGTTAAACATTTTGGTGTAAATATTTGAAATCGATTTCTTCGCTGTACTTATTCATTCGACTGTTTTGAGGGTTTGTTGGGGGATTAGTGTGCTTGGAGAGAGGGAGAGAGAGGCTTTGTGAGGAGAGAAGATAGACAGACATTAAGACAAAAATTGGCAGTAAGAGAAATGAGGAAGTACGGGTGATATTTAACACATTATTATTATTACCTTACAAACGTTTACTAAAACATGACCAACGTCTGGATTTAGTTTTAACAGATCATGTGACAGAAATGTCAGTTGCTAATAATTATTGTTTTAATACGTTTTACAATTCCTTTTATCCCAAAACATGAGTTATAGTGCTTTATACCTCACCTAGAGGTGTCAGCTGTAAATTTTTTTAGTACTGTAGCTGTTTATATAGTACCTAATATGACTTGGTATTGTCGCCTTTACGATAAAACCGGTTAACCCCGCCGGAGTAAATCGTGCTGGAGAAGCAAATGACGTAATTGTTCTTTGTGGTGGTTTTACGCAGTAACCTGGCGTCCTGCAGATTGTCCGGCATTAGATATATTTCTAACGGATCAGTTGCATTTTAAGTCAAAATACATGCGTGTCTTTGACTGAGCATAACACATGGATAAATGCGCTACCAATTTGTCTAATATAAAGGTGATACGTTGAAGTAAGGTTAGCCGGTCTTATCACAAGGGCGGAGATATGTTGTATGCTTGAACGAGATGCCATATTATATCGCCTCAGAGTCACAGTTATACGCATAAAACATCAGACTTCAAAGAACTTCTTAGATTGTTTTGTACCTTTTTATCCATATAGTCTTAGAAAAAGAAACGGAATCATGCGGCATTCACTACCTCTTAAAGATTTCAATATGAATTGGTTATTAATAGTTATATTATTTACGTGTATCATGTTACAGAAAACCAATTAAGCTCATTTTCCACATCATTACTTAATATTTTTAGACCATTCAAATAAATAAGATTTGGATTTTTTCCTCTGTCAAACTTTATATTGATTTGGGGCTTATCATTCTAAATAATGACAATTATCAACATCGATCATTTAGTGCTTACATTGTATGTGTTTGCTGAAGGCACCTCTTGAATCATTTTCATGGTACCCAAGGTTACTATCCTTTGTGCTTTTGTTCATTTGAAGAAACACTGAACATGAACAGGGACATGAAGACTGGAGTAGTCCCCATTTTCACTTCATAAAGAATTCATTATGTACATGTAGACTACGTAGTATATTGTTGCTTTGACGTGTATATTATTACTTTCGTTGAGTCGAAATTTTACAACATAACTTTGGACTGATCTGTGCCCCATGACAGCCTGATCTAAAATGGTTTTACTCTCAGTGGTTGACCCTGATACCAATGTCTTATTCCATGAAAGAAATTCTAACATTAACTCCAACTAAGGCATTGTATATATTATTCAACATTTTTTCTACCTCTGAATAATGCACATTTGACCTCATTAACGTAAACAAACCACAGCTATTGAGACTAACTTTGGGTTTCTAGCTAGCCGCAGTTTGTACGTGCTATGTTATTGTTTCATTTCGAGAACAGGAGCTTTTGATGATCTCTCTCTCTCTCTCTCTCTCTCTCTCTCTCTCTCTCTCTCTCTCTCTCT